GTCCCCATCCCTGGAAGTATTTAAAAGACGTGTAGATGAGGCGCTTAGGGACATGGTTTAGTGGGCATGGTGGTGTTGGGTTGACGGTTGGACTCGATGATCTTAGAGGTCTTTTCCAACCTTCATGATTCTATGATTCTATTCTAAAGCCCTCCTGCTCCCAAGTGAGAGAAGCATGAAATCTCTGTTCTTCTCACTCAACTACATTACATATGGGCTCTTCAATTTTAAAATACTATTATTCCCTGGAAACTCAAGTGCATCCACAAGGCAAACAACAAACTCACTATCCTCTCTAAACCCCCTCTCCTTAAAACCTCTAGAACAAAGGAGAACAGAGTAAGAAAACAGAAACACAGTGTAAGACTTCTTCAAATTAAGTCTTTTTCTACTTATGACACCGGACTAGCTAAAACTCCGAAGAGCATCCCTACAGCTCTCCTTATCTAGCAATAATATCAAAGCTGACAATAATAGCAACTCTGCGTTACTGTGATGTGAGATAGTTTTTTTAATCATTTCCCTGGGAAGGAGCTCGAGAGCAGCTGTCTAACAATTAGTGGGATAGCTCCAGACCCACTTACTTATCTCACACATCTAACATTCAGATGACAGTCGTAAGAGAACAATCTATCGTGTTCAATCAAATATAAGGCTTTCTGGGAGATTTCAATGGAATAGGGAGATATATTCCAGGTATCAAGTTAAGAAATGTAGATAAACATATTTAATTGAAGATTTTTTCTTGTGAAATACTGCAAATCAGCATCATGTTGAATGAACCTCTTACAATACTAAATGCTTCCTAGAGTTTAACCTTTAACATGCCATTTACTTTTTATCACGCCAGGAGATTCAACTCCACACTCTCTCATTCCCCTTCAACATTTGAGAGCAAAGTACATACACGCACAGATATATAGGTATAGATGTAGATATAAATATATGCACACACCATTTCTGATATGTGAGCCTAAGACTAGAGTCCCTGACAGATCATTTGTATTTTCCCAAGACATAGGTCTGCAGCAAATATCTCAGCCAAATCAAAGGACTGACAGCAACGTAGTCTAGCATAGCACATTGAAATTAAACTAAACCACAAACAAGATCCTCTTGACAACTGGCATATATTATGAATCTGTATTTCCCTACCACAGTTTAAATTCAGATCTCAAAATTCAAGCCTAACCATGCTAATTATCAGACGGAAATACCAGGAATTTTCATTTTACATTTGCATTAGCCTCCCTCAGTGTAGAAAAAGATGCCCCAGGATTGCTCTCTGCTCGATTCTAGCTTTCGCAAATGATTGAGTTGTGGTTGGATGAAATCAGGCATCGCTGCCCACAGGCAAGAGTCTGTTGTTCTTCACTGCTCAAGAGAGATGAGCATACCTTATATATTTTCCAGGCAAATAGGAATTGTACATTGCATATATGGGCTTCTACTGAGGCTTAAAGCATTAGTCTCAGTAAGAGAACACAGAGTGCTAAATTGAACAGGAAGATGTTGGAAGTCACCAGGGAGACTTTGATTACATGAACAGATTGACAACCAACAGATGACAAAAAGCTCTAAAGGGCTGGAGTCAAAGTTTGAAGTGAAGCAATATCTTCCACTAGATGATACACTTGAAAGTCACAGACAACCTTTAAGATACCTGAAGAGAAAAGGTGTGTCTGAGACCTTGTCTGTTTTTTCCAGTTATATGAGTTAGTCTAATGAAAGATATCACATCTCTTCATAAACCTTACCTCACCATTACAGCTGCAACAGCAAAATTCCCCACCCACCTGTCCAGAAAAATGAAATCCTCAGTGCATGGATGTTTGAATGAAATGTGGATCCCTGATAACTTTAGGCCTTTGGTTCGGTATCTTTGTAGAAGGGACAGACTCTTTTGCTTCACTTTAATATATAAAATCATCACTTGATGAAAAACAGCACAGGCACTTACTACGTCACTCATTTTCGCAGTGATGAAGTCCTATATGAGAAGTACAATAATCAGCTCTACAAAAGAATCTAAATTATTTTATTGGACAGGCATTTTCACAGGTCAAAATTTGAATTTTTTTGGTGTTAAAATATCTCTACAGTGCTTACAAATAAAGTTTAATTATGAAAAGGAATGTTAGTCCTATCTTTTCTTCTTCGCATGTTCCTGGTTTCCAGTTATCTTAGCTTTTCTCTATTCATCTTTAGACTACTCATTTCTCATTTGCGTTTTTATACTAGAGCAGGATTCCCTACAAAGTGCAAACAGCCCTTTCTGGACCTCCAGGTCCTTCTCCATAAACAGTCCCAGGCAGCATGCTTCCACAACAGAGACTACAAGTTGTCCTGAGTAATTCTTGATTATGGCAATTTGTTACAGGATCTCCAATGGAGCTTAAAAAGCAGATCAATAAAGTTGAGAAAATGAATCAAAAGAATGTCAAAGACAAATGGCATACATATGCAGAACTGTCAGAAGCAAAGAGGCATACTGCTGAGCCTGCACAAACCTCTCTAAATAACTGAAAGATACACCACCTTTCTAAAAGCAAGACAGAGGGTAACCCAGGAGATAAAAGAATAAAAGAAAATCAGGTAAGTATTTACAATACAGTGGAAAGGGAGTTCAGAAGGTGTGAATTTTTTTCTTTTTTTTTTGTAAATGCGCTGCAAGTCCAATACATGCAAAATCCGTGACTGAATATGCTGCCCCAAATGGTCCTCCTGCCATTAGGACATGCACATATCCAACTCACTCATTCAGCAAAGGCATAGATGTTCTCCTCTTGCTCTTCTGCACCATGTTGGCTTGGTTCCTTAAGGAGATTCGAATGAGTGAGGGAGCCAATCGACAAGGTTCTCCATCCACTTGCATGGGAATAGACTTGTATGTTAAAAGTGTCACCTCACGGCACTGATGCAACCTCTCTCCGTGACCACCCACCTGGAGAGCAGCCTGGAAAAAAAAAACCAAACACAAGCAAAAAAAACCCCAAAACAAAACAAACAGGAAAGACAAAGAAAAGACACCTCAGAACAGATAGTTGAGGCAGTTAAATCTAAAATGCAGTTTTACTGACAGCATCCATTACACAGCATTCCATGTGTAAGGCATTCTAACGAGTCACAATGAATGTATTTTCACTCCAAAATTGCAAAGCAGAACTTAAAATTTCACAAGGAGAAGTGGTGGGCAACAAGCAGATATCTAACCATACGCATTGCATGTCTCATCACCTTGGTATGTGTCAAGCATATTACATGCATGTGCATGCACAAATGAATACCTGTGTTTATTCTTAAAAAGTTTGCAATTTGTTTTGTTTGGTTTGTTTTTACACTAACAGTAATGCTACTAATTATTTGCTCTGTGAGAAAGAAAAATTATTTCCCCTTCGAAATCGAGTGCACCCTCAGTAAGTTTGCAGACAACACCAAGTTGGGCGGGAGTGTTGATCTGCTCGAGGGTAGGAAGGCTCTGCAGAGGGACCTGGACAGGCTGGATCGATGGGCCCAGGCCAACTGAGATTCAACAAGGCCAAGTGCCAGGTCCTGCACTTGGGTCACAACAGCCCCATGCAGCGCTACAGGCTTGGGGAAGAGTGGCTGGAAAGCTGCCCAGCAGAAAAGGACCTGGGGGTGCTGGTTGACAGCCGGCTGAACATGAGCCGGCAGTGTGCCCAGGCGGCCAAGAAGGCCAATGGCATCCTGGCCTGTATCAGAAACAGTGTGGCCAGCAGGACTAGGGAAGTGATCGTGCCCCTGTACTCGGCACTGGTGAGGCTGCACCTCGAATACTGTGTTCAGTTTTGGGCCCCTCACTACAAGAAGGACGTTGAGGTGCTGGAGCGTGTCCAGAGAAGGGCAACAAGGCTGGTGAGGGGTCTGGAGAACAAGTCTTATGAGGAGGGGCTGGGGGCACTGGGGTTGTTTAGCCTGGAGAAAAGGAGGCTCAGGGGAGACCTCATCGCTCTCTACAACTACCTGAAAGGAGGCTGTAGCAAGGTGGGTGTCGGTCTCTTCTCCCAAGTAACTAGCGATAGGACGAGAGGAAATGGCCTCAAGTTGCGCCAGGGGAGGTTTAGATTGGATATCAGGAAACATTTCTTCACCGAAAGGGTTGTCAAGCATTGGAACAGGCTGCCCAGGGAAGTGGTTGAGTCACCATCCCTGGAAGTATTTAAAAGATGTGTAGATGAGGCGCTTAGGGACATGGTTTAGTGGGCATGGTGGTGTTGGGTCAACGGTTGGACTCAATGATCTTAGAGGTCTTTTCCAACCTTAATGATTCTATGCTTGGGCAGAAATGTATTTTTTTAATTTGTAGTGTGACTATTAGCTCTCATCTATCAGATGCAGAAAAAACACGCCTGTATTAATGCACTACTAACAGAAAGCAGCCTAAAGACAAGTCAAGACCTTAATCCTGCTCTGTGCGCTTAATATTATGGATCAACTGATAATATGGTCAATAATATTCATAATAACACTTCTTATAAAGTACTTCTCTTCCCTGGTCTCACAGACCTTGGGTATGACCAAGCGCATCTGGGAGACGTATAGAGCAAGTTAGGATTATATCAACACAGTCTAGGGTTACAACAGTTCCTCAGCATCACAATCAATGTAGACTTGTAGACCTTCAGTTCTGAACTAGGCTTCCTTTGAAGAGAAACAGCAGCTCAAAGGGCCCTACTACTTAAATTCAGTCCCAGCTGAAATTGTTGATAGCTTTGAGATCACTCTAGCTACTGCGAGTGGCTAGAGACACATTAGTGGCAAACCCAAAAAATATTCCAGCTGAAAATTGCCAGTTGGTACATGCTAAATAGACTTTTGACAGTGTTTTCAGAAACATACCCTAAAATCTGCAGGGGTGAAGTAACAAATGTTCATGCCACAAGATCTACTAGGCTAACAAACAGAATTCTACTTACTTGTAGGTTATTTCCCTAATCCACTAGATCCATCAAAGAAATGAGAGACCAAAAAAGAATCCTTAACCCAGACTTCTAAAGAAATGATTGCTGATCAAGGCAACCTTTTACTTTTGCTTACTTTGAAGATTAGATTTGTCTGAATTTCTCTTTGAGAAAGCAAACTCCATTATCACGGGTATTCACTGAATGCGATATGCACTGAGGGAAGGTCACACAACAAATAAACGTGAGTTCAGTGAAAACAGGCTTATCCATGTTAGCTTTAACCTAGTCCACACAAGACATAGCAGCAACAAAGGCCTAAGAGTATGGACTTAAGCATGACGTAAACAAACCTGCCAAGAAGCCCCGATATGTGCCTTCTGTTGGCCACACTAAGTTCAAGCTGCAGTGCCTTAGGTAGATTAACACCAGCACGGGGGTAACTGCTAACTCTCTCACTGCATGTAATCATCCTCTGAAGAGACTATCACTGTGTTTAACCACTGTGATAGTAGGACACTAGGGTATTTACAGTGAGATTGCTTTTATAGTAACTCAGCTTTAGTTCACTTTAAGGACAGCATTGAAAGAAAGCGCACTGCCAAATTAAAATTGTTGGTTGAATTTTCTTTCCCTAGCAGAATAAAGAGAGAGATAACATTTGTGCCAGAAATATTACTAAGTTTTCCACAGCTATTACTAAATTTTCACAACATTTTTAGTGGGCATATGGAAACTGTATGGGCATATAATTTTATACAATATTTTATTTGTTTCCAGTAGCCAGTTTTACAAAAAAATTTGAACTTTTATGCCATAGATTGAAATATACAAAAGCTAAAAAGAAACAGCATTAATTATTTGACCATAGAACATTCCCACAGTAAAAACATGCATGCATGCTGTTTTTACTGTAATAATGCTGTTTAACTTCGGAGCACTGCACATGCAAATTAGCCATATTTTGCAAAGAGTACATTTTTATTATTAAATAACGCCTCTTTTATTAGAAAACTACAATTTGTCCCTCTCATTTAAAATCTAATAGCAGAGTATGTTCTGGCCTTAGCTGACTGAATATGTGGAATCACGGTGGTTCTTCAGTAATGAGGACAACTTTGCACTCTGTAATGCCACCCACAGAATTCACCAAGTCTGGGAGCACCTGCAGGAAGGGTAGCACCTGCTATATACACTCACCAGTGAGGCCATGGTGAACCCAATGACTTCAATGTAGCCATCATCATGGCGCTGAGGCTCAAAGTCTCTGTGATCTCCAGGGTTTCCCCAGGGCATTGTGCCAGCACAATACCTACAGAAAGAGGTTTGGAAAGGAAGCTTTAAGAAAGCAGTTTGCCCTGATGGGTCCTGACTAGTAGCCTGACTATAGCCTGTTCTGCTGTCCTCCAGAAATATCCAGATATCCATTCCAGGACTCAGTTCAGGGAGAACTAAAAGCTGTGCTGGCAAGGACTAGACAAAAGGGAAAAATCTCTTTTTTCCAAGCTGGTATACCATCCATAAATGTATCCATCATAATCTTTAGCAGGTTCCTTTGTGAGATGAAAATGGGGAAACACCAGGAAATAGATAACAGAGCAGCAGCGCTTTGTTCTCCCCACTTGCTTTGCCTTCTGCAGATGAGCTGTTGAGCCAGAAAGCTGCTTTGCCCCTCTGCTAAGCAGGCATGGGGCTGCAGCAGCAACTCCAGCCTTGGAGCTCCATTTCCTCTCTCCCTGCTGGCCCAGAAGCTGTAACAGCATAAGGAATGCAAAACGTTTCATAGCTTGAGGAGGTAGGGAGAAACAAGAAGCAGGAACAGATGTAGCTGTGGCATCTCTCTTTCCTACCATTAAAGAATGGATGTAAAAGTGATCTAAGAGTGATAGAAGGGGAAACTTTAGAGAGGTGACACCAGGTAGAAGCTTGCAGTGAGGGCAGTGCAGGACTCAAAAGATCAAGTGCTTGGGACTGCATGTGGAGCAAAGTGGTAGGTTGCCTAAAGCAGTGGTCTCCAAAGTGTGGTGCATGCACCACAGGGAGTGTGCAAGAAAAATCCACAACTGACAAGACAATTAGGGTATGTGAAGAAAATACTGTTTGTACTTTTAATAAGTAAGAAAAAAAAACATTAAAATAGTGTTTGTTTCATCTTTATCACGTCCTTTCTTAATTTCTATTTTTGTGTATGTTTTATAATGTATGTAATATATTAGGACGGTAGTACATGTATATAATTTATAAATAAATATACATATATGGGGTGGTGCTCAAAAATTTTTTTACTGATAGGGATGTACAATCAAAAAAGTTTGGAGACTACTGCTCTAGAGAGCAGGAGATAGACAACTTTTAAGAATACAGCTATATTTCTATTTGGGACACCATCTAACATTAAAAAAACAGCACTTTTTTCAACGGTTTGGTGTTCCTTTACTGGAAAAATATTGATCTTTGTCTCCCCCGCCCCCCACTTTCCCTCCCCCCTCTTTTTTCATAGTCTGCTTCTAATTAAGCAAAAGACCAGGCATCTGTGTCTTTACTATCTTCTTTGCAGGTTAGGTGCACAACTTTTGAAAGCGTGTTTGTTAATCATTTCTACTATATCTGTAACAGGATATTCAACTTTTTAAAGGATAGTTTAGCTGCACCCTGAACTCAGATCCCATTCCGTATTGCTAATTAACAGTATTATAAGCACCTAGCTCTCAAGAAGGCAGCATAATTTATAATAATATACATATATGGGGTGGTGCTCAAAAATTTTTTTACTGATAGGGATGTACAATCAAAAAAGTTTGGAGACTACTGCTCTAGAGAGCAGGAGATAGACAACTTTTAAGAATACAGCTATATTTCTATTTGGGACACCATCTAACATTAAAAAAACAGCACTTTTTTCAACGGTTTGGTGTTCCTTTACTGGAAAAATATTGATCTTTGTCTCCCCCGCCCCCCACTTTCCCTCCCCCCTCTTTTTTCATAGTCTGCTTCTAATTAAGCAAAAGACCAGGCATCTGTGTCTTTACTATCTTCTTTGCAGGTTAGGTGCACAACTTTTGAAAGCGTGTTTGTTAATCATTTCTACTATATCTGTAACAGGATATTCAACTTTTTAAAGGATAGTTTAGCTGCACCCTGAACTCAGATCCCATTCCGTATTGCTAATTAACAGTATTATAAGCACCTAGCTCTCAAGAAGGCAGCACAGTGGCAATACTCTTCCTGCACATCCACCCAGTCTAGGACAACTTGTAGGTTTTGTTGGGTTTTTTTTTTCTTTTATAACTCCAAACATCTGTCTTGAGCTTACCTGGGTATGTTTAAAAACACTATACACTGGAACTTCAGCTCCTGGATCTTTGGAGTCAGGTCTGTACCATCACACTACAAAGCCAAAGTGACAGAGCACAGAGAAATTGCTGAATGGAGCCACAGACAAGAGAAGTGTTGCTGCTTTGTAACAACTTTCCCAAGACTTTCCTTGGAATGTGTTGCAAATGTCATGCTCAAAACTGAAAAGTAACAGAGCCATTAAACTCTCACCTCGGTCTCTCTCCATTCCCCCCTCTCCCACAATACTATGACACAATTTCTTATACTTACCACAACTTTAACATGCTTGGATAAATCTCTTGAGCTTCTTTGCAGAAAGTCTGTAAAGGCTGCCTGCAACAGAAATAAGTGCAGGAATTGTCATCAGTGCGTCCCCTCTTCTCTTTTCTCATTTCTTATCACACCACAGAGCTAATTACCAAAATGCCATCCTTTTGTCAAACCTATTCTTTCTTGCTCTCAGGAGATATGATTTTTTTTTTTTTTTTTTTTAAAATCATGACACAACTCCTTTTGAGAGGTTAACCAAAGAAGGTCCTTCGGCACCCAAGGATTTAAATGCAAACTCTTGCTCACACATTTGTTTCCATGTTTAAGGCACATGGGTATGGTGGGAATCATCATCCAGAAAGACATCATATGTCATGCATTATCAAATTAGTATTTCTTCTCTTAATAACTGCATTTTAGAACAAAGCATTGTCCATGTATCTCCTGAATGCAGAGGTGGGTAATTTTATTTTCATATTCACATATGAAAATGAATCACTCCAAATAGCTGACCTCTGCCCTCCACTTCCCATGGCCCTACATCCAAGACTACTCCTCAAAGCTACAAAGATACAGGCTAACACTTGGGGAATTTCTCTAGGAAAGTCAATACAATGTGCTTCCCAAACCCTGAAAGAAGCAGAGCAGTTTCTTGAGAAGCTTATGAGCCAGAAGCAGGGGGAGCAAGACTTGACCAGTACTCACCTGCTAAGCACGGTAAAACAACAGTGCTTCAGGCACTTTCCAACAGACACGCGTGTGTTGGACATTGTGTGTGGCATTGCCAGAAACAGTATATGCGCACTTTAAATTGCAACAGGCAAAATGAACTGGCATGAGCTCCTGATATGAGAAAGTGAGGGGGAAGGTACTTAAGAAGCATTAAAGAAAACATTAAGAAAACATTAAAACAACTAAGTTGGCGACTTAAGAAAACATTAAAACAACTAAGTTGGCATTATTCTGTAAGATGAATTACAACTCACCCCTGCATAAAACATTTTATTTCTAAATCGGCTGTTGAATTTCTCTGGATTTGCTTCTGTGAAAGGATAAAAAGGAAAAATATGAACACCCTAATAAAACAAGTAGACTCCATTGTACCTTCACATTCCCTGCTAGCACTATAGTGCTTTTAGCACACATCATTCCATGAAAATATTAAAATATAGTTTTCCTGTGCGAGAATCCCCCATCTGTGCCATTATCTGCTACCAGATTTCAAACACTGATATTGAATTCTTCCCCTTTCTTGTAGAGTGAAAATAGATGGAAACATGAGCAAAGAGATAACAAAAATACAATCAGTTAATTTAGCACCTCTCAGACTATCCATCTATGATCCCTCAGTACCATTTGTGAGACTTCTATTTATACCAACATAGAACAGACCTCTAAGAATTATTAGAAATCCATGAAACACTAACCCATACTTTGAAGCAGGAGTAAAGCACTAGTAAATTATAGGATGAAACAGACACTTAAATTCTGATGTGTTACAAAGAGGTACCAAGGAATAGGCATCTCTACCCAAATATTCCTGCAGCGAAAAAATAAGTGGTTACTCTAAAACCTATTTAGAGAGCTGCTTCATTTTGACTAGACTCTAAGTGACGGAGAATTTTAATAGTCCAGTAGTAATGCACGTCTAATGGTTAATTATTCTCACTGTTAAAATAAATGTGGGTTTGTTTGGTTTTTTCCTCTCTTGAACTTTTCAGACTTCAACTGCCAACTGCTAAATCTTATACTTCTCTGTCAGAGTAAAGAGCCCCCAACTATCAGATATCTTCTCCTTGAGTAAATACTTATAGGCAGTGATTAAATCACCTCTTAACCTTCTTTCCAATAAGCTAAATGGAGCTCCTTTAATCTCCCAGTATAAGGCATGCTTCCCAGAATACAGGTCATTTTTGTGCCTCCCTGGGAACTGCTTTCCTAGCCTGCGGCACCCAGAGATTTCAGAAGCAGCCCTTCTGACACTGTATTCAGTGGTAGTACCAGCCACCTATCCTTGCTCAGTAATTCTCTAGTGAAGACATCCAAATATCAAGATAGCCCTTCTGGCTAAAGCATCACACTGGTGTGAACACTTCCAAAGTACTTCTTCTCAGATGACCACTTGAAACAATGTTTCTAGTTCTCTTCAAAGTCACTATATCTCACAATATAAGGCTCCATTTTGTAAGAATTAACTACTAACTCCGAGTTTCTTGTTTGATTGTTTGCCCAGCTCCTGTTACCATCCATTTATTGTGTTGCGGGTGAGCCTGGAAGGCAGTCAGGGCCACCTCTTCTTAAAATGCTTAATTTAACTGCATAAGTAAATCTCATCTCACTTACTGAGCTCACAGCTCTTTACAGAAAGTCTCAACGTCCCATGCTAAGAAGTGAGAGGCTCCTCAAGTCTCAGTGCCCATGCTGCACGTTCTCTGACATGGTTATCACCAATGGCTCCGGGCAGCAGCCACCAGGGCTCTGGCTCTTACACGCATCTTACAACAAATACTGACCGGAACCAAAGCCCCAGTTTGGAACTGGCTAATCAGAGAAGGAGACTTTCTGAGGTCAGGGACCTTCAACATACTGAACTGTTCCTACCTCTGACACAGCAGATGAGCATGGGTAGGGAGGGAGGACTGCGGTGTAGAATAGAGCCTAAAGTTGATTAGAGTGCAATTTCAATTGTAGAAGTAAATCACTGACTGCATATCCAAGGCTCACTCCATCCTCACCCTTCTCAAGCCATCAAGGAAGTAGCAAAAGGGAAGTGTTACTCTGTGTGTGTGTGTGTGCACGTGTGTGAGTTGGGGGGAGGTGTCCTGTAAATGAACAGTCCTGGAGAGCTGAGGGAGCAAACAGCATGTCAACAAGGATAAAGTAAATTGCATCTCCCTTGATCCACCAAAGCATAAGGATAACAAGGGAGGAAACTGTGATTCTGGAAAGAGTCACTACCCAGAACACTTCCTGAAGAAGCAGAGCTAAATACGTTAGGCTTGGAGCCAACCCTCAAGGTTCAATCTGATTAGTCACAAGCAAAGCGTAGAGGTTGCCATGGAAGAGGCCACATTCGTGTACAGGTTCCTCTGAGACATTGCAATCACTGCTTATTCTAAATATAACAGTTGACCAATCTCTATTGCATAAAATGCCCTGATAGGCCGAGAGTTCAAATCAAACCTAATTTATTTTGGTTTGGAGGGGGAGGAGGCGCGGGGCATGGTATTTGTTTTAATACTATATATGTGGTTACAATAGCTCCACATAAGCAAGCGCATACGACCACTTATCTTAGTGGACCAGGTGCAGCCACCATGAAAGTGCTTTAAGTTTTGCTAAAGTTTTGCTAAGAGTTTATCTGGGTTGTCATCAGTTGTAAGTGAGATGCGAATCTGTTTTGCACTGCTTAATTGCACATGAAACACAATAAAACCCACACACCAGCAACACCTCCAAGCCTACAAGCTTTTATCTCCTAAAACACATAGAACTCATTTGTATATTTTAGCATTTGAGAGGGTAAGGAAGACACCAGCAGTAACGACTTGTAAGAGCAGACACTCGTGCTATGAAAAGCTCTCCTGGCCACACATACCCGCTTACAGACACACAGCTTGCTCTGCCAAGTATTTTTTCACCCATGTAATTTTTTAGAACACTGGCATCTCTGGAACAACAACCATTCTTTATAGGGGTTCATTACTTAATAATGAAGTAATGCCTCCATTAAGTGAGAAAGTAGCCATGCATTTCATCTATACAATATATTCAGTCACATTAGCAATGCATAGTGATATGCATTCATTAAAAAATGCATACAGCTGTCATCGTTTCATTCCTTTTGTGCCCTTTTGTGGCCCCTCATTATTATTCCTAAAGCTTGAAGCAGTCTTAAACATTATTAAATATGCATTAGCTCATTCCATCATGTATCCTGCTCTTTATTTAGCATGGCATTAGAGTGCTATCTTTTCATCTTGAAATGACACTCTGATAGTATGAAAGTGAAGGGAGGCTGCCATTCAGAAAAAATACCCGCTTATGAAGCTGAAATGACCAAAAGCTGAACACAGATAATTGAACAAGGTTTGTTTATACAAGCGTGCTTGCCTATACCATATAAATAGAGCAGTTCACATCAGTCCAAAGCCCACCTTTTAAGCCACATTTGGATCTGTATGGGGTGGTATAACTGTCATCAGCAAGGGGACAAACAAGATTCTACAGCAGCTCAAATTCCTGACAGTTTTGTGGACTTCATTAAAACCTTCCACTTGCATAGAGGCGCTCTGGGTCTGTACCAAGTCCAATGATATTATGCTGTACTCATCCATAGGTAACAGCCATTCAGTCTGAGAATACAATTATCCTCCTGCTACCCTGCTAATTCCACAGCCTCACAGCTTTTGTCCTCCCTCCACCTCCACACTGGAGGGAAAACTGGCACCTGACTCACATTTGTTTTTCTTTCTGCTCTTATTCTGACACTTCTGCATCAGCATAAACTTCCTTTATATCTGTACCTGGTATCTCCTTTAGAAGATCAAAAACTTTGAAAAGCTGCCCTTTTAGCCCTTTTCCTCCAGTGAATGCCCTTTTTTCCTTGTACTTTTTTCGTTTTTAAATCATGAAGTCCCTTGGAAACTCATGATACAATCACTTCCTTCCTACTTGTGTCTGTATCTTGGGTTTTTATGTTCCAGCTTTCCTTCTGAATTATAAGAACAGGATGTTAAATCCAACTCCATTTGTAATTCATAAAATAACTGCCCATTCCCAAGGCTAAGGAAATAAAAGGTTCCTATTACCTCTAGATTCATGGAACTCCAGTGTAACATGTGCATCAAATCCAAGACTGAAGTAATTATTGAAGACACTGAGTGGAAGCTGTAATTGCATAATAAAAAGATACGTAAAAATAACATGAATGAAACGTTCCATGACACACCAGGAATTAACTACTTTAAATCTGGCATCTCATGAAAACCTAATAAGAAGAAAGTGGAACATATTAGGAAAATGTATGCAGAAGGTTGCTCTGAAGGTTAGTAATAGCTTGTGGATCAGGTACAAAAGCCTAAAGAACACAAACACATCTACAGTGCTTTATGATCATATATGTATCTTTGTAAACACATCAAAGGGTTCCTTATGTAGTCATTGAGATTTCCCATAATGTTGCTCCACTTAACATGTCAATACAAAGGTTTTCCTAATTGCTGGCACTTCAAGCTCAGCATCGCGAATGAAACTCAAGCTGTGTTCTTCCTGCTTCATGTATAACCAGGAGCAATGCAAGTCCCAGACAAGAAGCCCTAATTCTATTGAGGACACATGAGGCAGGGAAGCACATATCTGGCCTCTTCTTCCTTACACACGCCCAGCAGGGCTGTGGAGAGAGAACAGTAACATCTGATAGATAAGCTGGAAATTATAACTGAGAAGAGGAAAATGGTTCACAATAATTTTTTTTTTTTATGATTGCAACACTTTCACCATCTCCAGTCCAAATGACATATTACTATAAATGTGATCTCCTCACAAAGATTTTCCCACTCTTCAACTATCAAGATCATATGGAGACCCACACACAAAGAAGTTAAATACAAAAATACACTACTCCTTGCTGTAAAGTAGGAAACAATTGGTATCCATTAGCAAAATCCAAAGGAATAAAATTCTACATCCTGGTTTTAGATTTATATCGCTAATTTAGGAATGGATGGTGGTCACAAGGTTGCTTCTCCTGCCACCCCAGGTTAACTAGAGAAAAAAAAACAACGCCCTTTCAGATAAGATGCCAGGGATTTTTGCCAGGACGTAGTTCTTGAGATAAATGCTCAATGTCTGAGACTTACAAACAACAAATAAATGGCTGATATGTATTACGTTTCGCACATCTCTGGAAGCACTGACACATGAAAAGAGCAAAAGGAAGAGATGCAACTAGAGAATTAAAAAGTTTTAGAGCTTCCCCAGTCGTGCATCTTATGGTGTAACCCAAAGACGCTCTTAAGCATCCTATAGTCTCCCTGGGAAAAAGAAGGCTCTAACCTTACGTGCCCCATCCTCCAGCTCATCCTGTGGCAAATCAGGGTTGCGCTCAACCTGGAGATTCCAGCGGTCCAGCTGGACAATGGTCCCATCTTCTACATGGCACAGGATCTTGGACACTGGCTCATCTGTGTAACCCTGACAGCAGAGGGAGCGTCACCAGAGTATCAGCCATGGATAGTGAAAGCAAAGCAAGTCACTCGCCAATTACCTGGCAGACTTCCTTCCTTTCATAGAGGTCAGATCAAATGTTCCTAAGAACACCTCAAAATATTGCTAAATTTTGATATATCAACCATTTTAACAAGCTATTGCTGAAGTACACAAGTCTTGGGCAGGCAAAGTAAGGCCATAAGGAGAGGAACTCAAAGTGTATTTGCCTTGCCTGGAGTAACTCCAGTGGTGCAGTCAAGGATAAATACAGAGAAATAAAGTTTAAACTATGCTTAAATTAGGAGCCTGCATATCCTCCTCATTACTTGGCCTGAAATACCAGATAGATACATCTATGTACACTTTTATTTCAACTACATCATTAGTAATTCAAGATCCCAGACTGGAAATTGAACCAAACCATTGTGCCTAACTGAAGTAGACCTTGGACACAGCCCTGCCTGCTATTTTAGCCAAAATGAAGTTTCACCCTACTACACAACTAAATCAGACCAGCAAGTTGAGAGCCCGCACACAAGGGTACCCCAGTCAGTGCTTACCCCACCCCAGTTGAGGGTGCGGGCAAGGTCATTCCCAGTGCCAAGCGGAAGGACAGCCACAGGAGGTGGGGGGCTGAGCTGCAGCTCATCGAGGATGGAGAGGATCCAGCCCACCTATAAAACGGGAAATGCAGACAACTGTTAGTCAGGAAGATTGAGAGGGATGGAAAAAAGGAAAAAGACATTTTTATTGTATCCCCTTTACAGAGAAGATCAAGTAAAACAAAAGGGAGAAGGAAAAATGAGGATATCTGAAATTTAACTCTACAGCTGTCCCATCTGAGGTTTCACCTTTCGGAGAACAGGTACAGCAGTTTTCATGAAGCTCCTGTGCAAGCAGAAGCAGTGGGATGCAAACACTGGCTATCTTTAACAGCACACAGAGTTACTGAGGAAAGGGAGCATATAAGTTGCTGTTCTTTAAGCAGGAAATGAAAACACATAGAATTACACCTGGCTAAGGCTGCCTAACTATTGCTCTGAAAAATACTGTATGTAAAAATGAGTGAAGAATAATATGGACAATTCAAGATAAATTCTTTGAAGTGCCCTTATGGTAAAAGAAGCTAAACCTTTGACAATTGTCATGAAAGAAGATGCAAGAGACACATTAAAACAGCATGGTATCTCAGAGCATATCCTGGAACTGGAACAGAGGGTCCAGATCAAGTCAAGCGCGGACTTGCCCACAAGTCTCCCATTCCCCAGACAAGAGACCTTAGTGCTGAATTATTTCACTCAGTGAAAAGCATAAAATATATATATTCTAGTCGTACACACACATACATATAAAAAATATAGAAGACTAAAAGTCTAGAATAAAAGACAAACTCTAATGCTCAGGGTTGAAGACTGTGGGTTGGAACAATGAATCTGGCTCTTTTGTATCGTAAACGATTGGTTATTTTAGAGAGCTGTTTCTCTCTCCTGTCTCTATTCTGGACTACATAAAACTTAAATAGCAATCTAGCCAGAAGGAACAAATTACGGTAAAACATTTTGTTTTCATTAGATGGTAATTTCCAAGGGGGTAAAGAAGAGTTGCTGAAAATGTTCTGAAACTTTTTATGACTGAAATTCTTGCTACAAGAAAATAGGACTATTTCTTAAACTATTTCTCACCTTTACCAAAAAAAAAAAAAATTAAAATCTGTGAAAGAACCTGTGCTGCATTTTTAAATAAAGAATTAAGAAAAAAATAAACATAAGATAAAATTTGATCTATTTTTTTTCCTAACACCAATGTTCAAAGATGCAGTCTCTACTGGAAATGTGAGCTTTTAAATAAGACAAACTGAAATCCTGACTGCAGCTGGACAGGATTTTTCCTCCCCCAGCTATGAGGGGAGGAAAAATCTCCAACTCCCCATTACTATGATTTCAGATAGATTCTTACCCCGAACTGGGATGAAAATGGAGCTTCCCAAAAGGTACCCAGCATAACATGGGCATTGGGAACCACAGATGTAATCTGAAGGACTGGAGCGGGGGTGGCCTGATAGATATAGCAACCACCACCCTATTTGGTATTCTAGGGTATGTCTTTCTCCAAGTCTTTTGAAGAAATTTAATTGAGTATAAATAGCATTTATCAGTTATTTATCGTAACCAATTGTACAATTATTAAAGCATTCAACTGGGATGTGAACCCACATTAGAGCTCATTGTCTGACAACAGTTCGTAACCAAGTACAATTATTAAAGCATTCAACTGGGATGTGAACCCACATTAGAGCTCATTGTCTGACAACAGTCATCTGAATCACTGACAACTCTCATGAACTTGGATGTCAAAGGTACTTAGGTCTATCATAGGCACCATGGTAGGACTAAGTACAGTCCTTAAGAGATTTTCAGAGATAAGTAATCTTCTACCTTTCAAAAATCTATCCTTCAGTATTGATAACAGGAGACAGAATAAAGAGTCCCAGCAACTTCATCGAGGCCAGGACTTCTTAAAGAGTCTTTTGTCATTAGCTCTTTGCCATTGCCACTGACTTAATCCACACATCTGTACCTCAGCTACTGGTGCAGGTAGCATTACAATACCTACCACTTTTGTACATGCTTTTAACTGATAAACAGAAACTTCAAGTTACTAATTTATAAATACAACATTGCTATTTAACTTGAGGTCATTTCTAAACCTTGCACATTAGTTTTACAATCAAGGATGATAAAGATTATCATTTCCCTGTAAACAGAAATCTCCTGACTGCTTTGAAAGCAAAGCTTTCCACTTATGCCCTGGAAAGGAACAGCAAGCAGCGATGATAGAAAAGTTACAATAAGTTCTGGTTCACCTCAATAATGCAAGGTAACATCTGATCTCATTGAATATTCACTAAGTCCATTTGAGCCAGATTTTTCATTTCTAGATGTAATAGCTTTGGGAATAACCAGATATTAATTTGCTTCAAACTGAGCAGCAGCAAAGGTAATAGCGGAGTGCTGCTCATACTAATGAGAAGGTGCTGCCACCTGTCGCTTGCACTGCTCAAAGGGAAATCAAAAGATGGTCAGGTTCAAATGTAGTTGCGTTCATTTCTATTTTAATATTTTCATGATGAAGATTTTTTCCCTATTAAAATATTGGCATCCTCAGATGGAAGCTACAAAGACTTTCAGAAACAGATTGAAACTCTTTTTTGCAGCTATGTCTCCTGCTAAAGCAACGCCTTGCAGGTTTCTCAAGGAACATTCACAATTCAGTAGTATCTTATTGTCCCAGGTACCAGCAAGACAGTAGTCAAATCACGTATTTTCTTTACCTCCGCAGAGGAAGTGGTGGTATTAATAACCCCTACAGCTGGCTTTTTAAACGAACCCACAGAAGCTGAACAGAAAGTTCTCCCAGAAATTCAAGCAGAGACGGGTGGAGGGTTGGTTCAGCTCACTACAAAAAAAAAAAAAAAGCCTCCCCATGCCCTAAATATCTACATATATCTACCCTGGCCAGCCATTGCACCTTGCAACCAGTAAGGCATTTTCCTTACCATACTTATGGTTACAACTATTATCAAGTGCATGTTTGGGGAACTGATCTTCCCAGAGATTAAAGGTCAGTTTTTCAACTGTATTTAAGCACTCAGTGGCACAGACTGGGATTTATAATATTCCTAAGTACTGGAAAGAGTAATGCGTTGTAATGCCTCCATTACCACGCTTGGCCTCCAGGCCCTGAACCACAGAGCCTGTCTCCAACTGAAGGTGCCTAATCTGACCCTGCATCTGCCAGATCCCAAGCTAGTAGTATGACCAATGCAATATCCTTCCTTACAGATGCTTTGTAAAGAAAGTGGGGAAACTCACTTTCTTTAGGCACAGAGGAGACCCTATTTGACTGCACTCAGACATCATGGAGATGATAGCAGGAAGGAGCAGACATTAAGATACAATGGCACTGACTTAACCTACTAGACCCTCAGATCTGTGTAATTAGTGAGAGGAGGCCAGCAAAGTTAGTCTTTATTTTTTTAAGCTCTACCAAGTCTTTATGCATAAAGCAAATAGGACCTTGGACATTAGGATCCGGCCCCATCACTACACAGGCCAGGCCACACAGAAAATTTAAAAAAAGTAGATTTCACAAGTGTAAGGTACATTATCTGGCTCTGCAGGCATTGCGAGGTGGGAAACCCACAACTGCAAGGAATTTAATCTCTTCCCGATGACCACGGGGCTGCCAGGCGCCAGCCACCTACCGTCCCATCCCCGCCGCAGGCCAGGATCCGCAGGTTTGGCACTTTTCTGTACAGCTCCAGCCTGGCCAGGGGAGGGAAAGGGAAAAAAGGGGAAAAAAAAAAAGTCAGAATAATGATGCAGGCACTTTTTATGCATTTTGCTGTGTGACAGTTTAACTGCCACTTATTGCATTTTCAAATATTCATTACTAAGTGTGTGGCTGGAGGCAGAAAAATAAAAAAAAAAAATCTCAGTGTTACCGAAAGCCTCGGCAGTGAGGAGGCATCAGCCCTGGCAGCCACAGGCAGCATCGGCCCCAACCCAACCTGAGCCCTGTGGCTCACTTCACACACACAGCCACACAAAAAACCACTAGGATGTGAAATGGGGCCTTCCTCAATGGTTAGGCAGCACCTCCTGAGAAGTATTTGATCAGTTTTGCATGTTTCCATGCTAAATCTGAAAGGCCAGATTCTCATGTTCCCTCTGGAGATGACAAAAATCTTCCATTTTTCTCTTATCCTAAAGCAAACAAATATAAACATTGAGGTTTTTAAACAAAATATAATGTTCCTCATTGGGATTTGCTGAGCTACCATTTCTGAGGCATGTAGAACATGACAGCTCCTTCAGCTGATAACTGTATTTCTTTAACACCACAGAAGGCAATAACATCTAACAGAGCTCTTTCTCTGGATATCTGATCTAAGATACCAACAGAAGAGCCAAAAAAAGCACCTGTTAAAGACTTGTTCCTTCAGTTGCGTGAAAGAGAGGCATAATGAAATATCTCCCAATGGAGGGGGTACATTCACACACAGAGAGCTGAGTGACCAGAGGACTTAATCCTCTAACTCCATTACAGAGCTCTGAAAACTGTACATATACTTTAAAGCTTCTATACATCATGAGGGAAGCAGCAGTGGAGGCGTTTCAGCAGGAAAAAAGGCTTGGGTGCTCTAGAAGTATGAATAGCAAATACTTGGGCCATCCTTATACAGGTAAATATTTGATTTTACATGATTACTATATTTTTGTGCTGCCTAACTTGTGAAATGAGCTGAACAGATGGTTGACTAAAGCAAGTATCTCTATCTCAAATACCATAGAAGGATGGTCTCTTAACCCTTAGCAGTGAGAATCATGCCTCTAAAGACAGGTCCTCCACCCCCTGGAAGAGGCTCACAACTATTGCCCAGAGAAGCTGAGTTAGTTACTCAGCAAGCAGAGCTACTTGCCTGCTGCTGTCATGTATGGAAACCTGGAGGCAGCCTCAGCCCATTGCAATGCTCAGCCACTAGGGAATGGTCAGGCACTGTGGGATCTGCAGCGGGTCTGTCTGGGAGCCGTCTGGAACTGGCTCTCTGACATGGGGGCAGCTCCTGACCTCTTCTCACAGAAGCCACCACTGCAGCCCACCCCACCACCACTACCAAAACCTGGACACATAAACCAAATATGCAGTTTACCAATCTATCCAAGCTAGACCTTCAACTGCTTTCCTGATAAGAGAAGAATTATGGTCTACAGCACTGAAGGCTCAAGAACTTACGCATCTCTTGGCCCTTCCTGAGAGAGATCAAAGACTTGGCGTGGATTCAAATACCACATAAACATTTGGAGAACCTTGGTGCCCTGGGAAAAGAGAAAAATCAAAGGAAGGGAAATTATGAATAACTTTATGATTATTAGAAATAAGTGTTCAATATTCACTATATCTGGACTGCTTTTCTTTCTTCTGTGCTTTACAAAGAAAACATACACCAAGAAAAAGACAAACTAGAAAGTGGCATAGCAGATGACTGCTCTATAGAATAGCGACCCACCAATCTGGGCAGGGTGCATATGTATATACATAGACTAAATTTAACAACACAGATCATTAATGGTTCATAAGAACAGGCGTTCAGGGTCAGACAAAAGGTTCAGCTCCCACAGCAACCTGTTCTTCTACCTCTCACCACCTGCAACAAGAAATCTCTTGTTATCCCACACCACCCTCAGCCATCCATGACAACAAGAAGTTGAACAAGCTTGTGGGCAAAGTCACCATCACGTTGAACAGTGTCCTGCACAACATTCAAGCAATGACACTGCTTTGACCTCCACCATCACCACCATGAACACTCATAACTGTAGCCCTCTACCATCTAATGAAGCAGGAGCCAAGGACTCTGAGCTACAGCTGCCCCACTGCTCCCTCAACTCAGTGCAGCATAGCCAGCCCATCGCCTAAAGATATAATTTCTGCCTTCTCAAACTCTTGGGTTCATATTCCAGACACTCAATTCCCTTTCTTCATGTTCTGCTGAGACACAAAGTGGCAGGATGTCTTACTAGCAGAAGAGGCCTAAGAAGCCCATGGGGCCAGCTTGTACTTCAAAGTAGTTCAAGAATGCATTTCAGACATAGCCTAGGGGGTGCAAGTCAGGAATTTTTGTTAGCTCCCTCTTCTGAGAGATGGCTCTTCTGTCTGACACCCCCTAAGTGGAGAACCAAGAACAGCAGTCAAAGCGTCTAGGAAAAGGTATAAGAACAGAGAAAATAAATGTGATGTTTGCTGTAGGTATTCTCCCAGCCGCAGCTATTTGCAGTTCATAGAACTCTTGAGCCAGAGGGGGTTCCAGGACTTTAGTAACCTTCACGGTTTCCTCTTCCAAATCTCTCCTTCAGCCCACGTAAATTTTTTAGCATCCACAACATCCTATGGCAAGGAGTTTTACAGCTGAACTACACACTGTGAGAAGGCCCAACTTTTTTCTTCGTTGTGAATCAGAGTCTTAGCAGTTTCATTCGATATCCTCCCTAATTCTTCTAACAGAGGAGAAAGTGAGCAGCAGCTATGCTATTCTCCATGCACTATAGGCCTCTGTTATATCTTACATCAATCTTTTCTTTTCAGCTAGAAGGCCTTGTTTATCAAAAGGCACTCAGATTATTTGATATTCAAAAAGTGGCAGAACTAATCTGCAAAAACTTTCACATGGATAAGTTTTAATTCCAAGAACCCTAAGAAAGAAGTCTGCTGCATGATGATGGTAGTCACTGAAACTTGGTTCTCTATGGTACAGTACAAGACCAGTAATGATTTTTTTAAATGCCATAGGAATGTGTCATTTCACATGAACTAATTTCACTAGGCTTTCCTAGTAAAATTAAATCACTTTTTGGATAATAGTCTGAGACTTCATTGGCAATCAACTTTCTGTGGAAAGACTAAGTCTTCTGAAAACCTCCAAACTACCATTTTAGATTCCTTTCAAGAATCTGAAGATAGGAATACAATTGCTCAAATACTTAAGTATCCATTCCACCCATCCAATTCTATTGAAGTGGAAAGGGCATTCAACAGCAAGGACCTCTTCTAAGGACCGCAATTCAGTTGCATAGAGTTCTTCCTATCTGACTCACCAAAAATTGTTCTCATTTGCAGAAACACTGTTGTTAAACTAAAACTTTGTGACCTGGATCCAGATGATGTTCTTACCTGATTCCCTCCACTTTTTGGATTGACAAAAACCAGCAGCGGCTTCATGAGTGGAGAGGAGATAGGCTTTATCACAAATGGCCGACCTTTGTTATCCTGAGAAACAGAAGCAAGAAACAGCTTTAGTACAAGCTATGTATGTTTCCCTGGCATAACATGTGCAGGAGACCCAGCCTAGCTCTGACAAAACTACTTCAGGTACTGGAAAGAGTACAGCCATGTTAATGGGGTTCTCAGCTGGGACCAATTTATCCAGCTGAGACAACTGAGTAAGAAGGTAAGAGAGGAAAAAAAATCACTTCAGGCCAACACAAAACTATTTTAAAATTTTACTCAATATTATTTCCAAAAAAAAATTATTCACACAGCGCTAATAATGTGTCACATAAAGTGCTATTTCTAATACGAACAATTTTCCAATGGAAAATAGAATGAGATAAACTACTTATTTCATGAATTCCATCTAACAGACAAGTTGTATCAGCACTTAGATGCAGATGATCTGCTCTTGAATTCTTGGTCTTGCCAGCCCTCCCACCTTTGAACAAATGTCACAGGTCAAACATGACATGTCAATGAGGAAGCTATTTGCCTCCCTACTCCTTACCCCTGCAGGACACCAGAGAGCCCACTAGTGAGGGCACTCTCCTGGGCTGTGGCAGACACAGATTCAAGTTTCAGGACTGCAGACCAAAGTGAGGACCTTAACCAGAGAGCTCTGGCTATGCAGAGGCGAGTCTCCCTCCATCTCTCTCCATGAGGCTGTTGTTCATTTATATAACTAAACCGCTAAGCAGGGTCTGGAAACAAGGTCTTCTATAAGCTACGTGGTAAATCAAACCATCAGATCATTCACCTGTTTCTCCCCTTCTCTCTGTGGCCCAATGTCAATTTTCACACAGACAGAATATTTCCAATATGGGATCTCCCGACGGAGACACCTTCAAACTGGACCAGACCCTTGCATCAGTGCACTCACCATGGATTTCACAACCCCAGTTTCTCACCCCTGCTCTGCCTAGTGGAAACCAAGGGTCTGAGCTCAGTCTCTTACATCCCAAGGGAACGCCGTTTCATTAGGCTGCTGGTCCTTCTGAAGTCTCGTATGTTGTTTCTTGAAAAAAATCAACTCAGCAAATAAAACTTCTCATACGAGTTTTATCAAAACTGATCTCTTCTCACAACAAATTCAATAGCGTGGAATTTTCCAGTGGAAAAAATATATTAAACACTGCAGTAAAAAAATTAAACTTTAAAGTCTGCATTTAGACATTTGAACAAAAGGAGCCTGATTACCAAAGCACTTGAATACCTACTTCATTGCCTCTTTTGCTGGCTTTTCTTTTAAAAGACGTTCTCTTCTTTCGCCGTGTTGAAGTCTTTAATGAATTCTGCATCAATAGAAAAAAGAATACATGAAAAGCAAAACAAAATTTAGAAGACAGGCCCAGACAGAGCCCCTTTACGAAGCTCTTCCATGCATGTCCACTTGGAGAATGATAAGATTATCTGGCACATGCTTGAGATTTAAATTACATGCGCTGCATGCTTTACACTTCCACACCACCGTTTATGGAGAAAGCCACACACGGAGACCAGACTGGTGCTTTGGAACTGGAAACTTTCCCACGCTGTGAGGGGGGAAAAAGATCAGATGCTCCCATAGACTCACATAACACCACATGTTGTACCTGCCAACCCTCCCAATAGGGGTAGGAGACGCCCGTTTCCCCTTCGGGGCTCCAGTCTCCTGCCCAATCAGGCTCGTCTCCTGGTATGGAGACCACCTGCATAAAGATGTAATAAAAAACATGATAAATGAGATATTTTTCATGTTTTTTTTAGGAAAGAAAACAACAAGTTTTAGCTCTGGCAACCATTATGACTCAACGTAACGTAGGCCACCATGGCGTATGATGCTGGCACTGTGTAGTCAGTTCCAGCCTATCAAGAAACTTGTGTAATCATCTGCTAAGGAACAAACTGAATTGTTAACATTTAAGGATTTGGGTGAGCGGGGGTGTTTGTGGGGTTTTATTTGCTTTGTTTTTAAATAACAATATCACTTAACTTCACGGAAAAAAAACCAACCATAAAACTGCTTGTATTTTTGCAGAACCTATTAAAATAGAACTTGCATCAAAGCTATTCTCCAGGCTGGCGATAGCCTGCTCAGCAATACTGAACCAAAAGGTGTTCTGGTGTGATAAGAACATTCCAAAAAGGGGAATTTTATTTTATTTTTAAATTATTTTAATTCAGTAACTGAAGTCATACCTGCAGGAAACCCTAATCCTTTCCATATGATTGAAATTTTGTGTTATAGGAAATACTGTAAATATTTTCTCAGTATTTCCACTTCTAGTCTAGCCATCACCCGGAAATAAAGTAACACAGGGAATTTGAAGAAAAATTATTGATTTTTTTCTGGCTTCAAGAGGGGAAGCAAGATCCATTCAACTCATCCAAAACTTCATTTCTGTCCTGACCTTATTCAAAAATGTGCCACTAATGAAAAAAGTCAATGACCAGAGATCATCAAATGTGTAAGAAGTGACGTCTGTCCTTAATCCTGCTTGCTAACCAACAAGAATAGCTACTAGATTCTCTTTAATACCTAACAACCACTTCCAGAATTTCAAGACTTCAGTACGACACACCAGATACAGAAGTTAATGTTTCCACATCTCTCAGAAGTTAAGAAAAACTAACAGCTATCTAACTCAAATACCTAAAGACACTGTCCTTTTTCACCCAGACCAAGAGAAGGCTGCTGTAGAGCACAAGGTCCCGAGCTTTTTGTCACCTCTCAACATTCCTTGTGGACCAGGATATAGTCATGCCTTGTTGTTTACTGAAAATACTGAAAAGACAGCTCTGCGGAGCAATTACAGGATATTTGTCCTTTTAGACCATATTTTGAGAGACCATCTAAAGAAGTGTTCGTACTCTTCCCTACTCTGATACAAAGTGATCTTGAAAGCATTATAAACCACAAAGATGGTACTGACTATGGAAGTGCATTGGCAATATCATCTCCATGGTCTTTCATTGCCCTACCTCAGTAGTCAGACTGACTGTAGACAGAAGTCTTTATGTCAATATAAAGGTACAGGACATTACTCTCAAAGCTGCCTCCCATGGGGGCCTTAGCCTAGTTCTCAGACATTCTCTTCTGAAGGATTCTCCCTGGAGTGGGGCAAAACACATGACACAGAGAGGACACCTAGTCTATCTGCAGTCTTGCCAGTGGTCTGCTGAAAGGTCACAGGCATATCAAGCCTTTTCCCTGTGCTTCAGTCTCTCCAGGTGTAAAATTCAAAACACTTGTCCTATTGATAAAGTGCAGTGAATTCTGCTGGCAAATCATAGTCTGTAACTCAAGTTAGGTATTATACTAGGCAAGTACTTAACTGTACCTCTGGAAGAAGGACTGTACTTGTTTTTCTGCCTCCACAATGGATGGACCTAAGCCCAGTGAAATCCTTCCAGAAAGGGCAAAGACAGTTAGTAAAGTCCTGACAAATTTAAAAAAAAAATTATAAATTAAAGAAGGTTTAAATGTAGTTGTCATTAAAACCCATTATAACATATCTCTTTTCTTGCCTATGGGTGAGGTGGGAAGAAGCATACAACTATATTATGAGTTTCAGTTCAAGCCTCCGTTCATTATTATAACATTTTTCGTTATAATCGAAAGCTTTGCTACGATGATTGCAACTGCATGTCCATAGCAGATGAAAGGCAAAAAAGCTGCTTAAACATATGTAGGTTCTCTTTGCAAACATGCAGAAGAGTAACAGCCAATAGTAATCATCAGTCTTTGCACATTAAACTGAAGAAACGGATGCATACTACCTTGTCCACATAACAAGGCGATGAGTATTTTATAAGTGTATAGTGTTATTCAGTAAAGTACCTGATAGCAAAGCATACCTTTAAATGGGCACCATATGCAAATCCTAACTTGCCTCTAGAGAGGAAACCTCTCCTTTGTGGATGTCAGTTTGGCCATCTTAAAGAGAGATTTTTGGTATTATTGCATGGTCACTATAGTTCTAAGCAAGCTTAGCTAGATGAACAGAAGAATTGGAGTCCTTTTTGTATGATGTTGGGTGGTGTGAGGGCCACAGACTATCTCAAGCAAATCCAATGGACCCTTTCAACCTTTTCATTTACATTTCAGCCTTCATTTTTAAAGGCTTTTAGCGTGCTGGGCTTCAAATGACTTAAATAATGAACAGCCTCTGGGAAGGCCAATCTTGACCATCTTCTGTTTGTTCACAATCCACAATCAGACAAGCCAGCTGCATTCAGCAATTGAGGAAATAAACCCAGAAGTGTAAGTATTCACTAGCACTTTTTCAAGGTCCTCAAAGGAGAAGAAGAAAACACCATGTTTACTCACCTTGAACAGAAAAAAGCCTGGAATTTTACAGTTACTGCCTTTGCCTTCCCAAACAGAAGACAGACTGAATCAGCCAGATCCTCCTTATTATCTACTTTTCTCCCACAACATAAGCATAGCAAGTCCATTCCTAGAGCTAACACCACTTGGGCTACCAAACCTCACCTATAACAAAATACCACCAGCCAACAGGGGTGACCTGCTTTCACAAACTAGGAGATGGAATTGATTTGAACCCCAGGAAATCAGAGCTGGTATCAAAGTGCTGCTAACGCAGTACAGAAACACTGGAAATCAGTAAAGAAGTTACAGAAGTGGCTCACATTATGAATAACATGGAATAGATACTGGGAGTTTTCCATTCACGTAAATGGGTCATTACATACAGGGCTACCACCGATCCCAAAGCTATTTGAACCATTCTGAATATTCTTCATCTTGCAATCAATTGCTTGCAAGAAGCAAAAGTTCCCCATTTAGAATGTAGGTTGTCAGCAGAGATGCGTCTTTAACCAATTGCACCATAATGTTTCATTACCACAACACTGTTGGTAATCACAGGGGGAGTGTTCCCTTTATTCAAGCGCAGTATTGAAGGGTGGTGACCCACATTGTACAAACTAAGCGTGGAAAACCATTTTTTGTAGCAATAAAGAGAAAAATAAAAATTCAAAATCAGGGCAAGGTTTTGCTACAAAAACCCATCTTATTTGCTTAAAAGAAACAACCAGCAAACAGGATGAAGGCACCACTAAAATCAATTTCATCTGAGTAGGGAATTCAGTTCAGGAGTTGCCTGTGACCAATGTGAGTAGTTAGAGCTGAGGAAATAATTTATAACAAGGCTTCTAGCCAAATTTATTCTGATTGTGGAAAATGTGAAAAACAGATTGCTGGCTACATATTTATTTACTATCTGAATTAACAAAAAATTCTGAATATTTTGTTTGTATTCTGTGGATTGAATGCAGTCAATATTTGATAGTGTTTACCAAACGTGAATATAGGGTGAAGAGGGTCATAATACACAGAAGTAGAGCTGGCCAGAAACAGCAGGAGGGGAGAAAATACTTCCTAAAAAAATAAATAAGAAAACAAGACTTCTGCCAAAAATCTGAAAACACATCTGAAAGATGCACCAGTATTTTCTACAGCAATAAGGATGCATTCCCCAGAACTAACACTGCAATGGGTGCTGTTAAGAAGTTTCATGGAAATATGCCCATTGTCTGTGCTAAATATCACTTTGACCTACCTAATGCTTCAATGCTACTAACCTCAAATTTCTCGAGACATGATGGAGAGGGAATACTGGATTAAAGTATTTCCTCTCCACTCATGACTCAGGCACACAAAGCTAACATTTTCTTAAAGTGCAACATTTTAGATGTTTATTTAAAAGCATTTTTCCTATGAATTATAATTAACTAGATCAGATTTATTTTTTTATTTGAACTTTTCTGAAAAATTAATGGACAAGAAAGAAAATTCTCTAAAAATGTTATAAGGAGGGTACCCTGCTTTTACCAAATGCCAAATCAAAAGAAAATTACAAGTGTCAATTTTTTTTTTTTTTTTTTAACTAAAAATTAAATAAGAATTAAAAAGATCAAAGAAAGGCTTCTTTTAGTAAGGTCAGACATGGATATGTCTATATTTATTAATGTATTTTCTTTTTATTAAAATTAGTATTTTTGGTTTTAATATTCCTTTCCTAGTTTTGGTTAAGAGAATGGTGACTGCAGTGTGTTGCCAGCTCACAAAGAGGGGTTTTAGTAAGCCATAAAATGATATAACAAATTCAATAATCTTTCTTTTTTTGTAAGAAAATACACTCAAAAGCATATGAAAGGGTTTTTGGTTGTTTGTTTGTTTTTTAAATTGTCATTTAAAACAATTTGAATGATAAATAAATTGGAAGTGTGCTGGGTGAAAAAAGATTTCATTTCCTTAACAGACCTAGGAAGAGGGTAGCACCTCTGGCCACAGGAAGCTGGTTCTCAGATCAGTTATCTCCCTTCTCCCATGTGTATCGGGCTAGCTGTAGTTAAATGGTTAGGGTACAAGGTGCCCAAAGACCCTGGCAGTACCCAGTTTCCAGGTCTGGACTGCAACAGTTAGGAAGTCCTTCCTAGTGGTTCCCAGCCCAAGGATCTCTACCTCATGGATCCACCTCCAGACCACGAACCCTTAAAGTTACGAATTCTGTGGCTAATGCCCAAAGCAGAGCTTCCAGGCAGTCTGCTGAGAAGCCCAGGGACCAAAAGACTTAAGACTAATGGGCCATACGGTCTCTTTAAGGACACAGAAAAGGAGCCAGCCTCATTTTTGTGCCAAATACCACACAGGTGCTGAAAATTAGCCAAGAAGATTAAGTCCCTGCCAAGGACTCTTCAACAAGAGAGGAAAAAAAAAAGATTTCTCTGAAGGAGGCTGGAGTAAAACTAACAGCAAAACAAGCGTGTGGGAAAACATACAAATGCTAAAGAAACCTTTTTTCTCAGAGGAGAGGTGGCTAGGGATCTTGCCTATTCTGGACCTAAAGGAGAAACAGTGGTCTCTTCGGTCGACTTTTTGATTACTCTATACTTTCCCCCTGCCTTGTCTTTAATATCCAGCTTGTTAGAAGTGCTACTCCCACACAAATCTGACAGTCATATCCCTAGACTGTAACTAAACACTGACCAGTGTCCCAGCTCAGACCTTTTTCCAGTTCCATGGGACTATTTGTGTCTTAGTGTGTTGCCTACAGCCTGAACTTCTCTGCTTCTTGTTGCCAACCAGGACACAGAGCCAGAAAGCCCGGGGTCACTTCCCAAGAATGGACACACTAGTGTAAGAACTGCACATCACTGCTTGATAAAACCAGCATTCCTCTCAACGGAGGAAAACAACAAGAAAACGTGAATGGGAAGTTTCAGTGTCCCAGACACTATTCATTTAAAAAAAAAAAAAAACCAAAACAAACTTGTTTCAGTGCTTCTGAAATAAAACTTTTACCAGTATTTCTGGCTCCCTGATATGTTCAGCACGTGTTTGTCTGTTTCTTTCAATTCAACCTGGAGTGAAAACAGACTTTCAAAGAACAAAAATACTTCTTGCATGATGAGAATCCCCTTTTAATTTTTGGCCAGCTCTCTTTTGGATACCTTCTCTCCATATTGTGTTCACCACAAGTATCCTGTCTAAAACATATTATATCCATCACAAAAGCTTCAAGTGAATGTTTGTGAACAATTTTTCCCTGTATTTGCTCAGCTCTATTTAATGAAACATGCTTGACTGCCTTCAACACAGGGGATTTCTTGCAGTATACTCGCTGAAGTCACAGTTAGAGGAACAAACCTGAGCTGGATTTGCTCAGAACAAAAGTCACATTTGTTGCTAATCGTCCCAAACAGGGAAACCTACTGAAGGGCTGGATGGAGGGGCGGGAGGATACAGGTTCATAATCACCATGGATGTATGCCGGGTTTCAAGGGTAGAGACAGGTTGAACAAGCATGCCTTAGTGAAGGAGTACCGAGCGGCGAAGCCAGGCTGGCCCTGCACAGCCATACAGCTTCAGAAACAGACATCAGCATGCAGTTACCTGAGGTTTCTTCACCTTAATGATCCAGGTGGGAGGCACAATGACAGCAGCATGAGCCCCCAGGGAACATGGCTCCTCAATGTGATGTAGCATGAAACAGGTGACTTTATTATGAAACTGGAAAAGAGGAAAAGAGTAGAGTTAATAAGAAGGCCAAGACAGACAAAGACAAAGGGGAAGCATGGAGAGGAAGAAGGTGATGGTACAAAAACTGGAGCAATGTTCCCAACTCCACCATCTTCAAGTCCTTCAAACCATGGAGTTTTAGGAACGTATAACTAAAGATCATCTTCTCTAGCCATGCCTTCTTACAAAAAAACCACCAAATCAAAAAAAAATGATCACCCCTACTTAAACACAGATCACAGACTGAAGACCACACCTAGTTTGATGCAGCTGTGTGTATTAAAAGCCCTTTGGCCTCTGAGCTAGCAGCAGCACGGCATTAATGGGACGTAGCCAGCAACTACATTGTGCAGCAAGACTCTCCTCCTAGAGGACTCATGTCAGCCAGGTGAAACACCAAATCCAAAAAAAATGATCACCCCTACTTAAACACAGATCACAGACTGAAGACCACACCTAGTTTGATGCAGCTGTGTGTATTAAAAGCCCTTTGGCCTCTGAGCTAGCAGCAGCACGGCATTAATGGGACGTAGCCAGCGACTACATTGTGCAGCAAGACTCTCCTCCTAGAGGACTCATGTCAGCCAGGTGAAGTTACGGTGTCTTTGAGCAAAAGGAATAGAAATGGCAAAACTAGGGGTGATTCACAGAGAGGGAACCCTGAGAGCCAGGAGAAGTGAAATTGCTTGCAGTGCAGTCAACTCAGTAATGCTGCTACTGGTCTCCCCGAGTATTGCCCACTTACCGCCAGCTTGCACCAGGAACAACTGATGGCCACAATCTCTTTACTATGGAAGGAGAATTTCTGCTGAAAGCCCTAGAATAAGCAGGAAAAAAGGATTAAATTCCTCCTGACTACCAAAAAATTTACACCTTTAACTCTTGCCAGGTGACTGTGCTAGGCTAAATCAGTTCATTGCAGTCAGATACTTGGTTCAGCCTCAAAGCTCTTCGATACCAAACATTTTGGGGGGGATAAAATAATGACAGGATTTAGAGAAGGTTCTTCAACAAGGGTGTTTTCACACACACATTTTAAAGACACTTCTGCAAAATTTTATGCTTTTTCTTAATTTCTGTAGTTAAAAAGAAAAGGGAGAAGAAGCAGAGAAGGAATGCCTATTTCAATGGATTTCTACAGACCTGAGTAAGATTCAGATTTTTCGGTTGAACAGAACATTCTCTCATTGCAGTCTTTTTCGCTCTAAATATGAACAAGAATTTGAATTTTCCTTTTTTTTTTTTTTAAATACAGAGTGGAATCAGCTACAATGTCTGCATGGAAATGTTCTGATTGGGAAACTGTTTATTGTTTTATTGAGCTGACTCAGATCAAAATCTTTTTAGTAAGTTCCAAAACCCAAGATCGTCTGATTCAAATCGAACAGATATAAAAGAAAATATTTCTTTATAGTTGTAAAGAGAAAAAAAAACACTATTACCAGCAAATATGAGAATTTATTCTCCCACAGAAGAGTCTCATTTTTGTAGAATGCAATTTCAGCAGACATATCACTTTCCTCTAAGTTCTAAGGCTGGAAAAGACCATTGGGTCATATACATCCTTCTTGCATATAACAGGCAACAATGCTAATTGGAGTTACAGCCTAAAAATTTGTGTTCAGTTAAAGCTTATTTTAGCTGGATTAAAAATTGATTTGGGTTAATGGCTGCAGAGATGGAAAAGTCCAGAACTCTGTTGAACAGTTTATCATAGTCACCTTCACTGCTTAGATTTATTTCAGATTTGCAGCTGTCTAGATCCTTTATTCATTGGCTTCTATCAAGCCTCTCTACTACGTTAAGGAGCCCATCACCACCCAGAGTTTTCTAATTTAAAGTCTCTCTACCAAGTTGTGAATTTGTGAGCCAGTTTTCTTTTCAACAAGCTGAGTTTTACCTAAATCTCCTACATGGTGGGCAATGCCCAAGACCCACTGCAAAGAGTTATGATAATCTGATTTAGTAACATCTAACAGGACATTTCCTCAAAGCTTCTATAATTAAGGTCCTTCTTATCCTAGTTGCTGTGGAAATGAACACAAGATGGACACCTGCAGGAAAAATGAGCCTATTAGTGCTCAGTGCAATGGCAATGTCAAGCATACCAAGAAGGAGAATTAAATGAACAACCAAAAACCCATCCAGAGATGCACTGGTCTTGTTCAAGTGAGGGATTGAGCTACAATCTGTCCCTATGTGGTAGTCAAGGACAACTCCATCAATAGTCTGAAGGGGAGGCGGCTCTCCCTGTCTGCCCACCATGCAGAAGTGCACATTGCAGCTACTTCTTCAGGTGTCCCCAGCATGTATTCAAACCAGCTTGCCAGATGGACCACACCACCAACTAAGGCCTACTCCTAAAGAGGCTTGTGTCACCTCTGCCTAGTTTGTTGGGTTTTTTTTAATCCTTCCCCTAATGCCTCAGGTTTTACATTCAGAGAAATTCAAGGAGTAGATTCTTCATAATGATGGTGATCTGGCATATTCAGGTTTAATAATGGAGCATGGTCAAACGGCTTCACAAAGACAAGCTGGCCAGCTGCTTCTGGCTGGGCAGATCTAGTCTGCCATTCAGTGTGGGCACAAGAACGGAGTGACAGTGCGATGATACGAGTGCTGGAATGGAGGTCTGACACTGGATGAAACGCTCTATTCTCATTCACTTAAACTAGTGCTTCTTAATGTTTCTTACAAATCTCACTCTTTCTTGTCCCAAAGTGTATTAAAAAAATTATTTCAGCCCCTCACAGACATGAAATGTTTTGGTTTGTTCGGCTTTGTAACAAGCAGGGGAGAAATTCTTCTCTCCCAAAACTTCCACTGATAAAATCTAAAATTCAGCACGTTAATTCCACAGCCCATCAAGTGGTGTATTTTAAACATATGGACTGAGCAGCTTGTCTGGTCCTGGATGGACCGTTTTTCATTTATTCAGTAAGCCATTTGGCTTTTAGGGAGTCATTAAAGAAAGTGATACAGCAATAAAAACATATTAATAACAAGTAGCAATGAAACACCACTTTTCTTCCTCAGTTTGCTTTACAAACGTGAGCTACTTCTTCCTAAGGATACATGTTTGAGGCAAGATAGCAATTATTTGAAAGCTAGCTTTACAAATAAAGGAACTGATGAAATAAAGCAATGCACTGCAGGTCACAGTGAGATTTGATGGGGACTGTCAGTCTCCACAACTGGAGTCCCCCATATTCCACCAGAAATCATCACTTCTGCCTTCTCTCAGTGAGAAGGAAAACTAAAATTCAGCTATCTTGTTCCTGGGTCATGCAAGGAGGTCTTCTGCACAAATTTAGAAAATTTGGGATAGAAAATTCATTTCACCTTTGTGAGAATATCGGCCTAACAGTACCTGATTAGCCCTGATTCACTAGCACCCAGTTCCCGTACAACACATGAAATCCCATGCTGTGAGCTGCTCCTGCAAAAATAAGCAGTTGTGTATACCAGAGGAAATATATTTGGAGGAAAAAGCACCTGAATCCCCAGCTTGTGTCGGTGATTACAATCTGCCTAAATAATTCGGATCAAAGTCCACATTAATATAGACACCCATGCACACAAACAGAGCACATAGGGATTATTAGGTCCAACATGTTTTGGTTATATTCTCAAATGTACTTAAAAAGTATTTTCACACCAGTGTTAGGGCTACTAATAATTTATTTTTGCATGTATTTTCCTATGATATTTATTCCCTTTTTAATGCTCTCAGAGACATTCCAATGCAAAATTACTGGAGGAGAGGCAGGTATTATTGCAACTCGAATACAGACAGCAACAGAAGCACTTGGATGGTGATTTCTGCTAAAATAGCAAAGAATTAGAATTGCCTTTCAATGACTAGAAGTTTCAATCCTGCCATTATATGCAGGGAAAACATACAGCTTTGCATTTATCCACTGGCCTTTAAAGGGACCAGTAACAGAAAGAGATAGACACTGTAGCTGCACACTGCACGTGTATAGCGGACACACTGCTTTGGACACCACAGAAAGTAGAAAGAAATAAAGTGTCTGTTTAGCATGATGGTCCAGATGCATTCTTAGCCTCGGAAAATATCTAACCCACTGGTAACTGGAAGTATATGAAGATCACGGTCTCTTCTCCCAAGTAACTAGTGATAGGACAAGAGGAAATGGCCTCAAGTTGCGCCAGGGGAGGTTTAGATTGGATGTAAGGAAAAATTTCTTTACTGAAAGACTGGTTAAACATTGGAACAGGCTGCCCAGGGAAGTGGTTGAGTCACCATCCCTGGAGGTATTTAAAAGACGAGTAGATGAGGCACTTAGGGACGTGGTTTAGTGGGTGGTGGTGTTGGGTCGACGGTTGGACTCGATGATCTTAGAGGTCTTTTCCAACCTCAATGATTCTATGATCACTCTGCATTCATCCTTAAGCTTCTATTACTGCACACAGTCATGGACTGGGTGCTGGGCCACACGGTCTGAACATCCTTGTGTTGTATTACGTAAAGAAAAAAAATCCCAATTTCTCTGATGATCCCAGGTAAAAACCAGCTAACAGCAGCTAAAAACTACAAAACTATCTTTTTTTCCCCACCTGCAAGAGAAAGAAATCAGTTCTTAAACATCATCAATGGCGCAGAGAATGCGGTTTGGGAGCTTTTATTTACCATCGCTTTCAACACAAGAGCTATGGAGCATTAGAAAAAACTAGTAAATGACAGGTTTGAAACAATCAAAATGTGGTTCTTCTCACAGCATGTAGTTAAGTTTGAGAATTCCTTGCTAAAGGATGTTAGGGTACAATTTACAGGAACTCAAGGAGAGACTAGACAAGATCACAGGAGAGAAAGTATTCATAGGCTGTTAAATATAAAGGCACCATTCCTGGAAATTCATGAGACAAATTCTTGGAGGCCAGGAGACTGTTTTGGGGATGCATCACTAAACACCTGCCTCTACTTATGCTTTTCCATAGTAAGCCGCTGTTGAATACAG